CACCGGGCCTCCTCTCCTGCTCTCTCTGGCCCTGTGGTTACACTGAGTCTGCCTGGATGATCTAGCACAAGATCCTTGTGTTAAGGTCAGCTGGTGAGCAGCCTTAACTCTATCTGCTACCTCAGTACCCCTTTGTCATGTACTGTCATGCATTCCCAGGTTCTGGGGGTTAGAATGGGGACACCACCTGGGTGGTGAGGACTCATACTTACCGCCAGGGGATTTCAGGTGGACAGGAGCCAGGTAGAGAAGCCAGAGAGGGAGGGCTTTTCAGAGAAGTTCGAGTGGTCTGGTTTGGTTGGAGCTTAGAATTTATGAAGTATTGGGTGACAGATAGAACAGCAGCCTGAGGTCACATCATTGTCAACTTTTTTCATTTTAGCCACTCTCTTAGCCAGGGGTCCTCAAACTTTTTGAACAGGGGGCCAGTTCACTGTCCCTCAGACCGTTGGAGGGCCGGACTATAGTTTAAAAAAAAACTATGAACAAATTCCTATGCACACTGCACATATCTTATTTTGAAGTAACAAAATAAATGTTTTCGGCGGGCCACACGTGGCCCGCGGGCCGTAGTTTGAGGACCCCTGTTTTAAATATTCTCCATCAGCTGAAGCACCGTGCCTATTTATCTCGTGGCTGCCAGCAGAGCGGAAGTGGTCCGGCATCGCCACGAGCAGCCAGTTATTTCATGCCCTGTTAATTCCTAAAGCCGTAACTACAATATCACTCCTGCTTTTAAAAGAGGTGTTTTTTTCCTGTGTAATGTGTGGCCTAAGTGTCCAAATAAAGAACACCAGCCCTAATGCGGCTGACTCCAAAAACATAACCTCGCTTCTGTCCTCGCCGTGGGCTCGGAGCTCGCAGGCATCAGCTCAGCAAAACGCAACTCTTCACGGCTGAGAACTCCAATCGGAGAGGGTGGCCGGCACTTCCGCCCGCAGATGGCCAGGCCGGGGTGCCGCCCACCGCAGAGCTGCCCGGTGGGGAGGCTGTCAGCTCACCACAAGGACCTCCTCATGGCTCCAAAGGCAGCTCTGACCCTGGGGGCGGATGCGTGTCTGATGGGGCTGGAGAGAGGCTGACACGGCACCGGGCAGGCACCTGCCGCTTTAAATCACGTCGGTGACTGTACCGCAGCCTCAGTCAGTGCCCACACCACTTCCCATGCAGCCCGTTACTGCCCGACCCCAAACACTCCTCATTCCCTATGTTTATGCCACTTCCTGAGGCCACATCGGCCCGGGTACCCCTCCTAGTGCCCCGCTCGGGGCCTGTGCTTCTCCCTCACAGGCCTCATCGCCTGCGTCAGAGCTGCATGCTGGGCACTTTGTCCCCAATGCGATCTGAGGGTTGGGGACGTCACTGCGTTCTCAGCACCCATCACACCTGTGGGCAACTGCTCACGAATGAGGGCAGGTGCTAACGGGTCTGGAAGGACCACAGTCCCTCCTGAGTGAGGCCCGGGGTAGCTGATGTCTGGCCAGCGTTCGCATCTGAGTACCAGGCGCCCGGCTCAGTCCCAGCGCCACGCAGGTTTGTGGTGGGATGTGGGGCAAGAGAAACCCTCTCTGAGGCTCAGTCTCTTCCTCTGTGAAATGGATATAACAAGCGCTTATCCTCACTCAAGATATTTTTCCATTGAATTTTAGAGAGAGTAGAAGGGAGGGAGGGAGAGAGAGAAACATCAGTGTGAGAGAGGCACGTCCATTGGTTGCCTCCCACATGCACCTGGACTGTGGCTGGGGTGTCGGGGATCGAGCCTTACAACCCAGGTGCATGCCCTTGATATTAATCGAACCTGGGACCCTTCGGTCCTCAGGCCGATGCTCTATCCACTGAGCCAGAGCAGCTAGGGCTGCGGAGGGTTGAAGGAGATGGTGTAACTGAGAGAACCCTTAGCCTGTGGCTGTCACTGATGTAAGCACGTGGCTCCGCTCTGTAGCAGGGGCCCCGCAGCCGAGCACGCCAGCACACCCACCTTTCTCCTCCTGCCAACCTTTGTCATCCCGGAACCTTATTGAGCGGCTTCTCCTTGGCTCACAGACAAGACAACTCATCACGGACCTAACGGCGCGTCGGCTTCAGAGGCGGCCCCTCCTGGGCCTCCCGGGAAATCGA